AACGAGTCAAGCGGACGGCCCCTGGACGCCCAAGAGGCCCCCAGAGTCTGCTACTGGGCCAATCATGACCCCAGAGGCTCCTCCTTCTGCTCCTCCTCCTCTGCATCCTCCTCCTCTTCCTGCTCTTCCTCCTGGGCGTGAAGCGTTACGTTCCCATCTCCATTTTCCTGCTCCGCCCACTTCTCCTTCTTCCTTTCCTTCTCATTGTGCTCATCCTCTGCCCCCCCCTCTCCTCCTGCTGCTGCTCCTCCTCCTCCTGCTCCACACTTACACAATACAAATACTACTCTCCTCTCTTCCCTGGTGACGTCCGGGAAATATTCGGCCCCCCTCCGCGTTCGGGTTTTTTACACACAAGATTCCCCGGACACGGGTGTTGTTTTTTTGGTGTTGCAAAACGCTGTTCTCGAAGAAGCGCTGGACTCATTTTCGGGCTACCGCTCGTTCCGAATCGTGCTCCCGCTTCAGCGCTGGCCTCATTTCCGCGCTTCCGCTCGTTCCGAATCGTGCTCCCGCTGCAGCGTTGGCGTCGAGTTGTTCCAGCGCCATGCCACGTTTTCGGTCCTTCCCAATAGGCTCCAAAATCTAAAAAAATCCCCCCCGAACAACCAGCGGAAATGATTACACATTCGGTGCCTATTCGTTGAATTTTCGGTTCGTAGCAGCCCCCCCACATTGGGGCGTCGCCACGCAATGCTATGTCAAGTCACGCGTCCTCCGAATCGTGCTCCCGCTGCAACGCTGGCCTCATTTCCGCGCTTCCGCTCGTTCCGAGTCGTGCTCCGAAGCAGCGTTGGCGTCATTATTTCAGGCGCCATGCCACAGCATGGTTTTCGGTCCTTCCAAAACGGCCCCCAAATTCGTAACAACCATCGGAAGTGATTCAACATTCGGTGTCGATTCGTTGATCTTTTGGGCCGCAGAGGTCCCCCCACTCTGGGGCGTCGCCAAGCAATGCTATGTCAGGCTACGCGTTGATCTTAAACACCATGCTATGCCATGTAAGGGATGGGAGGGAGTGGTATAATGTCAGATATGACGCGAGCGCACCTAGATTGTCCTCCTCCCCTCCCCCTGTCCCTCCCCCTCCCCCTCCCCGTCCCCATCCCCCTCCCTCTCCTCCTCCTCCTCCTCCCCCTCCTCCACCTCCTTTTCCTCCTCCTCCTCCTCCTCCTCCTCCTCCCTCCCCCCCTCCTCCTCAGACCTGCCAGCAATGAAGCCTGGCGGCGCACGGAACACATCGATCCTTCTCCTGCCGCCTCCTGCTGAACACTCCCTCGCATCTCCTCCGTTTTCTCCCCCATTGCGTTGATACTCCTCTTCCTCAGCGTTGCCCTCTTCCTCGGCATCTTTGGAGCGCGTTTCATGTTCGGCGATGATGGGCGACATGGGGGGGGGCGGGAGGGGGTATGATGTAACGCCCCCCCCCCCCGTCGTGTGGCTCCGGCACCACAGCCGCGCCCGCGCGCACGACGCGACGAGCGACGAGCGACGACGATGACGACGACGACGCGAGCAGCCTGTAGGTGGCGATCTGCCCCACTGCGCCTGTGTGCACTACAATGCTCGCGTGCACCACAACGCACGTGTTCACCACATCACCTGCGTACACCGCAACAACCGTGTGCAACGCAGCGCCTGAGTACACCACGGTGCTTGCGTACACTGCAGCGCTGGTGTACATGTGTACACCGCAGAAACCATGTGCAACACATCGCTTCTGTACACCACAATGCTCGCGTGCACCGCAGCGCCTGTGCACGCCACAGCGCCTGTCTACACCGCAGCATCCGCGTGCAACGCAGCGCTGGTGTACACCACAGCGCCTGCATGCATAGGACAGGTAGATGGAGCATGTACGTGAGGACTTGCTGCGGACAACAAAACGCGACGCCAGGAAAGTTATGATAATCGAATGCGAAGTTCTTCCTCCTCATCCTCCTCCTTACCCCATATCGTGCGGGTTGGCACGTGCGCATCTCAGCGTGCACCGCATAATGGTTTATTGAATCGGTACACTTGGTTCTCGGACGGCCAATTTAGCTGGAGCTTCCTGGACGCAAATGGGAGGAGTTAAGGTGATACGGGCGGATTCGGGGGGACTCGTAGATTCCAGCGGCGCTCCTTTGTCAATGAAGATTTGTTTCTACTGTCTTCTGCAAGCGCTCCCTATTTCGTCAACATTTAATATATACAACAGTGGTGTTGCGTTGCACACGCTTGCTGTGGTGCGCACAGGCGCCGTGGTGTAAACAGGCAGTGCAATGCACGCGTGCATTGTGGTGTACACTGGTGCTGCGTTGCACACGGCTGATGTGGTGTACGCAGGCGCTGTGGTGTACACAAGAGCTGTTGTGCCCACAAGCACGGTGGCACAAGCTGACGCTATGTTGCACGCAGGCGCTTTGGTGTACACAGGCGTTGTGGTGCGGATCGCCACCTACATGCTGGTGCTCCCCGTCCTCCGTCCTTTCTAAGCATTCCCAGACGCCGCCGGCGCGAAACGTGACGTCATCGAACCCCTCAACCACTCCCTCATGATTGCCGTCATCGGCCCGGAATACAAAACAGGCTTCAGCCGCGTCCGCGCGCACGACAAGGATGAGCGACGAGCGACGAGCCATAACGACGACGACGACGACGACGACGACGACGACGACGACGACGACGACGACGACGACTGCGGACCAGACTCCCATGCGGATTCCTACACGGATCCCAATTCGCACGGCGGCAGTGCCCGGAGCGCATTGGGGGGGGGAGCGCTACGTCGTAGGGGGGGGGGGGAGCGGGGGCCATGACTCCCGTCATGCCCCAAGCAATACAGAAACGGGCTCTGACTTCTTATCTGGCATGACTTGGCAACCTAAGACCAAGCCTGACCATACCAGACCATACTTCACGAGCCACAGCTAGCCCGACCAGACCAGGGTAGACCAGACAAGTTCGAACTTGGCCAGAACAGATGAGGTGCCAGAGAGAGGCAGATGAAAGAGAGAGCAGGACCCTTACGCCACCCGCGAGAGACCCCTTGCAGGACTCTGTGCGGCCGCATCCACAGGAAAGTGACACGAGCTGGTGGGGGCACAGGAAGCGGAACTACACTTTTTTCGTCGGCGGCGAGGCAATTTCAGTCCGCTCCAACGTGTGGCAATTCGGGGCAACCGACAGGCGAACCGTCCGGCGTGCAGGAGGGAATAATAAAACGAGGGCGGCCGCGCGGGGGGGAGGGGGGTGGGAAAGCGCTCGGGCGCACGCAGCCCTGGGCGACGAGCCACTCGGGCTCGCGAGCAGTGCCACGAGCCCCTGGCCTTAGGGGGGATTTTGAACGAAAGATGAGACAGAGTTCAAAAATATTCACAGATCGTGAAACATGCTCAAATTCGCCGGCCCAACGGGCCAGAGGCGTGCTAAGATCTCCGGTAACTTGTTAACAATATTTCTAGTTCGCGCGCGCGGAGCGGCCCCTGGGGGCCCCCGGACGAAAAGTACCCCGGCAAGGTCCCGAGAGAAGCCCGGGAGAAGCCACCAGACCACTCCAGGGGAGGGTATTTTTCGACACCCCTCACGAGGATCGTGGCCTCCGAGGGGGGAGCCGCAATCGACTACCCCCAAGAGCCCCCCAAGAGGCCCTGGGGGCCTCCAAAACGCCGCCAAGGAGCCCCAAGAGACTCCCAAGAGGTCCCCAAGAGGCCCCCAAGAGGCCCTAAAGAGGGCTCCAGGGCCGGCGGCATGAGCGAAGCGATTAAATAATCTTCCCCCGACTACTTTGTTACTATTTTTGAACGTCCCTCCTGTAGAGGAACACGCCCGACTGAACCCTGGCATGCCGCCGAGCAGCGGCGAAAAAACGCAGGGACGCCCTGGCCCCAGGGCGGCAGAGAAGCGGCGGGGGCCTCACGCGGCAGACAGGGGGCCGCGGGGACGCCCAGGGGGCAGCCGTGGCCGCGCGCGCGCGCGTGTTTGGCCTATGTCGGGCATGTTCTCCTACAGGGGGATTTTGGACAACAAATAAAATCAGAAAAACAATATCCACACACGGCTATTTCTTTACTATGTTCGAATATATCCTCCTGTAGAGGGACACGCCCGACTTCATGTTAGGCGCGTTTGGGGAGGCCATGGGGTGGCCGCGGGTCTGAAGCAAAACTATGCCGCATGTGGAGATTTTCTTTTTCGGCGTTTCAATATTGGGCGGAAGGGGGGGGGGGAGGAAGGTGTCTGTCTCATGGGGGAGACTCCAGCTGCTCGAAACAGGCGCCTCAAACAGCCAAGATCTACTCAACGTGGGGGGAGGCGAGGGCCCGCGCCGATCGGCAAAACGATTAATAAAAAAGATCACCACCTTTGACGAGCTGTTTGTTGTGGACGTGGGTTAGAGTCAAGCGCGAACTGCCAGCAGCGTGGGACCAGCAGAGAGGGCATACAAAAAGACGAGCGAGCGAAGGCCAGAGAAAAGACACACTGGTCGAAAGACCGCGGGCGAGCGAATAACATCTGCGGCGGGCAGCGAGGGCTGCCGGCAAGGAGAGGCACACACACATACACTTGCATGCGCATGCATGCATGGCGCGCTGACGTACACGCGAGCGTAACTACACGTATGAAAAGGTGTGACCACATCAACGCATGCATCAAATACGAGCTGTCCAAGACATACATATACATCTGTCGAGATAGGCGGCACACACAGGAGCGTCGAAAGTCAGCAAGAGGGAGAGAAAGACATAGAGAGAAAGAGAGACGGAGACACGTGAATGGACTGCCAGAGGGTCGAGCATGGAAGCTACATATAGAGAGAAGCGGGGACAGAGAGTGAGCGAGCGAAGCGTACACACATAACGAGAGGGAGAAAGAGAAAGAGAGAGCCAGAGATAGCAGAAAGAGAGAGAGAGACAATAATATACAATGCATGACAAGCGGAGAGAAACGTGAATGCAACATAATTGACAATACATGGTAAATTGGCACACGCCAGCTGCATGAACGGATGGCCCGGCCTCTGCCGCCAAAGCAATTGATACCTGAGGATGGAGAACAAAATATGTGGAAGTATTTGGGAATTCCACCAGCCCTCTGGGCGTTCGTGGCTCAGGGCGCTTCATCTTCTAACCCCTGCCACCCCATCGGAGAGAGGGGTGTACATCTGTTCATTGTCAACAAACAACCACTCCCCCCCCCAACTCGACATGCCGCCACTGAGGAACCGCGAGCCGCCCCCCTCCATCCATTCTTGTCAAACACAATGCAGCGTGCCCGTGGTGGCAAAATCTGGATCCTCATTCTGACCACCAAACCACCACTTTGCAGTACAGTTTGACAAGGATGGGCACCGCGCGACCACTTTGCAGCGGTGTGTTGCCAGGGACGGCGGGGTTGTCGGCAGATTTGCTTGCCGCGCAAGCCGACCATGCCTCTCAATAAGCAGAGCGAGACGATTCGTTTTCGTCGGCGGCGAGGCGGAGGCGGTCCGCACCAGCGTCGGGCGAATCGGGGGCACTAATGGGCAAAGTGTCCGGTGTGCAAGAGAGCGCGAGGGAGAAGAGGGCGGCCCAAAACAACAGAAGAAACACGTTGCCACGACATCTGGGTCGTGTGCGGACAACCCGCCATCACTTTGGGTGCTGACGATATCCTCTTTGTACTGTGCTGGTGGGCTCTTTTCTCTGAGCCTGCATGTGTCCCACGGTTCCCCAAGATGTCACAATTTGTCCATCGGTGTCAGTGCTTTTCGCTCTCTGGAGGAGCCGCCCTTCTCACAGAATGCTCAGCACTTCGCTGCAGGGGGATCCAAGATCATGAACTCCTTGGGGTCGGAGCCCCTAGGCACCTGGGGTCTGTATTGGTTCCTTTTAGCTGTCCATCCGACGGCGGAGGTTCGGTGGCTCACCTGGCACATTCTGCGCGCGCCGCGCGCGTGGCGCACCTGGCGCGGCTGGAGCACGTGACACGCTTGGCGTACGTGGAGCACGTGGTACACATGGCGCGCTTGACACGCTTGAGCCTCCGGGTTGCCTGGTGCACCTGGAACCTGTGGCGCGTGTGGCATGCGGGCGTTCCTGGGCGACATGCTGAGACTCGCTCGGATGGTCCTGATGTGGGTAGGGCGAGTGGGAGTGAGCCCAACCGGTTGGGTCTGGGAGAGGTGTCTTCCTCTCCCCCTGGAAGGGGGGGCGAGGCGTTAGAGCGTCCAGGATGCTGGAGATGGCTTCCAAGATGGCCCCAGATAGCCCCCAACAACGTTTCTCGAAACCATGTCGTTTGCTTAGTTTTGCTGCCATCTCGCCTTTTCGCTTCCGGTTGGCCTCTGAGGCGTCAAAACCCCCAAGAGGGGCCCGTCTGGGCTCCGAGAGGACCCCAAAGTGCTCCGACGGCGGCCCAAGCCAACTGCGCCCCGAGAAAGCCCCACGAGACGACACTTCACGCTCGGACGGGTCCGGGGTAATTGGGCTACCCTTAGGTCGTGCATGTCCTCCTACAGGCGGATTTGGGACGAAAGCTAAAAAATAGGCAAACAATGCTCAACAAGAAAAAAATCGTTCCCCTATTATTTTGGAAAACAATGTTTGAACATTCCCCCTGTAGAGGGACAGGCCCGACATAAGGCTACCCCCCTCTTTGATCGATGTCTCTCAGATGGCACCACGAGGGTCCCGAGAGGCTCCCAAAACGAAAGATCCGCGCGGGTCTTCGTGGTTGACTGACTCCCGTCGTCGTCCTCCCTCCTTCTCCTCCTCCTCCTCCTCCTCCTCCTCCTCCTCCTCCTCCTCCTCCTCCCTCCTCCTACATCCGTGTCCATTATCATCTGGCCTTCACCTCTGGCTTCTCCACTTTCTCTTCCGCCCCTCCTCCGACGGCAAGATTAGCAACTCCAATTCCTGGTATGGCCAAGGCGATCGCAAACTTTGGAAGGCGGCGAGGAATCTAGGAGCCGTCTGGGGGTCCCTTGAAGGTCCAGGGATCCCCAAGATACCGCTCACGAACCCAGGTCCTCGGCCTCGGGAGAACGTGGGGGGCGGCACGGCGGCGAGAGCCGGCCCGGCACGCGCTGGGAGGCACGACGACGACCAGGGCCCCCCGACGCTGCGAGATTCTTGCGCAGCGTGGGCCGGCCGAGGTCTCGGCCTCTCCCCCGGCAACGGCTTCTCATCCTGAAGCATTTTTGTTGGGGGCGCCCGAAGTGGGCACGGGAAAAACTGGTACAATACCCAACAACAAATGTTGTCCTGAGGGGCAACGATAGGGGAGGACTTGCATAGGGGGGATGCATCGACCTGGAATCGGCGATACATCGCCGATAGATCGGCGATAAGCTTCCGATCGTGAATCCGTACCTTCCTGGGGGACTATCGGGCCCCTGTTGGCGATCAATGGGCGATTGGGGGACGATGCATCCCCCCTATGCCTACATCCCCGGGCCGAAAGTTTTTTCCTCTTAGCGCTGAACCTCACGGTCCCACGCGGTGCACGGGCCCTCTGGGAAATCATAGCGGCGAACCCAATGAGGGTCGCACGGATCCGATTTCCAACCTTACCATAATCGTGAAATCGCGGCGGATCCTATTTCCGTGCGCGCGGATCCCATTTCTGATTTTCGGGATCCGCGTCGGACCCTATTTTGTACGGCGGATCCCATTTCTACCCCGTTTTGAACTACCCCGTTTTGAGTTTTTAATATTAAGATTCGTTCCGGGAGCCGACAAAAATGGGATCCGTCGACCGCAGGCCCCCCCCCCGTGTTAAGATTCTACGGGGGACGGGGTGGTCCTCTTCGACGTCAAGAGGAAAATCTTGCGTCCTGCGTAAGTATCCCCCCCTATCGTTGCCCCCGATGTCCATAACCGATAGCGGCCGCTGTTGGGCACGCGGATTCTTGCAGTCAGCGAACCACGTCAGCGCGGATTGCGAGCCCTGTTCGACATGAACAGGAAGTCCTGTTGTGAATCGTGCCCATTCTTTCCGTATCCATGCCGCTCGCCCCGAGTTTTTTTTTTTTCACACCCGCCGGGCCAGGGAACGGGCCTCCAGAGGCCAGCCTCGAGCGCGGACCTCCCGTCATCGTGTTTCCGCGACGCGAGGGGGTCTTTCCAGTAGGAGCTCGACCGCATGCGCCTCCACTGTATAGAAGAACGAACAATGACGTAAACACAAAAACTCTGAGGTCCGCGCGGACCTTTGAGTTTTTTGGTTTTGTCCTTGTTCGTTCCCCTACCTGTAGGGTCGGAGGCGTCCAAGAGGGGGGCGTCCAAGAGGGGTGTGTGAAAATCATGGCCCGAAGCACGTGCGCGGCCCAGGGGGGGTCAGGGAACGGAATGGAAAAAAAAAGGCGCCATGAAATCTGGGGAGACATCAGGGCCCCCGCCATGATCTCCACCCCCCGTAGGCATCACCCTCCTCTAGGCGGCCCCAAATTTTGTGTTCATGTCATTCCTCGCCCCCCTCACTGTAGGGGAGGGCGACGGCGACAGCCTCCCTCTTGGCCGGGCCCGTGGCACCTGGCCACCTTTCCCAATCCCCGTAGCCGCCGAAGGGCTGCGCCCCGGCAGGGTCGGGCTCCCGCGCCACGAGCGGCATGTCTTCGGCAGCCTGCCCGCCAAGCGCGCGAGGGACGCGACGGCGAACGGGTGGCGACAGCGTCGACGACGACGACGGCGACGAGAAGGATGGACAACAAGAGCCTCTTGTTGTCCCTCAGGGACGAGCAACATACGTGGTTACCATGCGTGGTTTCCGTGCGTGCGTGCCTTTTGTTGTCCCTCGAGGACAAAAGCCTCTGGTTACCGTGCGTGCGCCTGCGGCAACAAATTTTGCTCGTCCCTCAGCGACGAACAATCTTTGTTTGGTCCAGGGCACGAGGCTCACTGGTCCGGCGCGGGCGAGTCACCCTCGATGTCGTTTCCCTCCCGACAAGGAGGAAGGTCAGGGCTAAACCTTCCGAAAATCAAGCGCCCCTGGCTTCAGGAGGAGGTCGAGAAGCACTGGGAGTCCGAAAACGGTGTGGTGACGTGACAGACCGCACGATGACCTCGAAACCCGAAAGACCTCACACCGCAGTCCGTCACTGCAAGGTCACGGGACCTTGGCGGCCACAGTCGTCCGAGGCATCCTCGGAGAACGACCAACGTCCCAAAACGAACTCCAAACTGTGAGCTCATAACGGATCCCGGATCCCCACTGACTCTTGGCGGCGAACGAGGGCAGGAGCCAGAAAAAAAAAAAAACACAAAGGAATTTCACACAAAGGGTTTTGGCAACACCAACGGTGCAACGCATGCGCACACATGCCAGTGGATCCCCAGCGATCCGAACCAGGGTTGATGCACGGCCGTGCTCTAAGATGCAGTTGACATGTATGGTGTGGCAAGGCTGTCGGCGGCGACGAGATCCCAATATCCGCTACCCTCAAACATTCCATGGTGGTTTGGCACAGCCAAACCGCCGTACAACGTTAGTTTGTTCATCCGTCGGCAGCAGCACGCGTCGCGGCAGCAAAACGCAGTAGCGCGCGCGGGCATGCAGGGCCGGCGATGTGGCCGGCCAGCTGCCAACGCGACTTCGGCAGAAAAGCCGAAATCCACGTAGGATCGTTTTGGGCGTGGTATCCGGCGCAGCTGCATCGAACTGCCAGGCGCCGCGGCCTTGTGATTGTAACGCCAGGCCCCGCGCGCTCCTCGAGGCGGGAAAGCAAGCTCTACACAAAGGAATCGTGCGTGCTCTTGTGGGGGCGGCGAAAACGATCGTACACAAAGGAAATTCCTTTGTGTGCCCCCCCAGACCGTACACAAAGGAATCACGCAAGACTTCGTGGTACACAGAGGAATTACAGCAACGCCCTTTGGGTTGCGCTCTTCGCGCGCGGTGACAGCTCCGAGCTGGAAAAGAAGGGGGACGGGACAAGGCAAAGCAGGGGAAGAGGAAAAACAAGAGGAGGGCGAGAAAGAAGCGAAGGAAGCAACGGAAGGAAGCCAGGATGCGCGCAAGCGAAACTAACACTGCGCGCCGAGACAGTTGTTCGTTCGTTCGGTTGGCCGTGCGGCAAATGAAAAGAAAAAATGTGTGTTGCCTATCGAAGGGACTTCTTGGGAATGAGACTCGCGCTCTCTTCCCAGACCCCTTTCCCACACCCCGTTGCGAGCGCGCGACGATTTGTTCTGGCCCGCGGGCAGAGGACTGCCAGTTGCCGGTGAGCGGCCTTTCCACCCGTCACGCGTTCCGAACACATGCGACCAGCTAAACGCACTTGCCACGCAAACCGCCAGCTCCAAACACCGGCGCCACCCCGATCCCCGCATCCGTGCCAGGCACCCTCTCAACGACGCCCCCTTCCAGCGTAAAACCAATAAAACCCTTTGTGTGTTATGTTTTTTTTTCCTGTTATGAGAGGGGGGAAGTAGGAGGAGGCCTTCTCAGTAAGCTCGACAGTCCCCCAGCCTCCTGAGAAGTCTTCTAAGCGTTCCCTGGAGACACAAAGATCTCCCAGAAGTCGCGAGGGCTTCGGAGAAGTCCCGCCACCTTCTGAGGAGGCCTTCTCGTTCTCACTTCCCCCCCTCGCTCGCCGCCGTCTGGAGCTGGTCACAGTGTCGTCGTCGTCGTCGTCGTCGTCGTCGTCGTCGTCGCCAACGCCGCTGAAACTCACCCGACGGCGTGGTCACCGCGCAACGCTTTGACACTTCCGTGGGGGCAGCGGAAACCTAAAATCAAATCGACAAGTCGGATCGGCGATCGAAAATAATCGGATCGGCGGAAATCGGCGGCCGAGCCGGGCAACGTCGAATCGACGAAGGTCGGCAGGCTGGTAGGCCTGCGTCGAGAAATCGGAGCACAGATCGGAATCCAGAGACGACTCGAAGCGGAATCGGAGACCATCGAAATCGAAATCGAATCGAAGCGGAGGCATCAAAACGAGCCCTGCCGTGAGTGGGGGCAGCGGCCGCCTGCCCCGGCGCAGCGCCCCGGCGGAGCAGGCCGCCAGTGCCGCACCCCGCGGTGTGGGGGGAGAGCCGCGCCCGCGCGGACCGGCTGCGCCCTACTTGGGCCTCTCTGTTGGGAGCTGCGGGCGCCGCCCCCCCCCAGCGCTGCCCTCCTCCTCGTTTGGAAACGCCCAGGGGTCATGCTCTAGAGGCCTGCGCGGAGGCACGGAACAGGGGGCGTTGGGAAAAACAAAAACGATCTCGTAGGATCACCCTGGTTCGGAATAAGGCGTTGCAAATTCGGGAAGTCCTCGTCCGCCTTCTCCCCCTGGAGTTAGAACGTCCAGGGTTCGCCCACGGACTGGTTTTAGGACAGGCATGTCCCCCTACAGGCGGATTCCGGACGATAAACAAGCGTCACGTGTGCCATGGCTCTTGCGTCCGCCTTCTCTCGGCGGTGGACAAACCTCCCTTTCGTAAACCTCCCCTTAGCGAGAACAGCCTGGGACCGAAACCGTCGGACCTGGACCCGCAAAAACGACGGCCGCGACGCCCTCTCGCGAACCGAAAACGGCCAATTCCTGAATCGACGTGTCAGGGTAGGAGGTCTGTCCACCCCCGACTTTTCCTCTGGAAGTAGAAAGTCCAGGGTTCGCCCACGGACTGGTTTTAGGTCGGGCATCTCCCCCTACAGGCGGATTTCGGACGAAAAATAAAAAGTAGTAAAAAGCATGTCCCGAAATAGTCAAACATAATCAGAAAATCGTCCCAAAACAATTTTTTGATTATTTTTTAACATCCCTCCTGTAGAGGGACAGGCCCGACTTGAGGCTGGTTGTTATTCGAAACCGCCGATGCCGTCACGAAAAACCCGTGAGGGTTTTCGGATGGTTTCGGGAGGGTTCGGGAAGGGTTTGCGACTTTTGGGAGGGAAGCGCACCCCTAGCGAACCTTGGGCTTCCTAAGTCTAGGGGCCCCCTAGATGGGGTCGCAGGAAATGGTGTCGGAAGATCGCGCCGCATCGCTTGTGCATCGGCATCGTCGGGCTCCACATCGAGCCGCATCGACGATGCATCGTCGATGCGGCGCGGTCCTCCGACCCCGTCTGTTCGGACCCCATCTGGGAGGCCTGGATCCCCGCCCTCTTCCTCCCAACCGTCCGTCGCCATTGGCTCAGACTGTATCCGTCCGACTTCCCGCCAGCTCGCGTCGAGCGCTCGGGTCGCGCCCGTACCTCCACGACAGGGCTTGACTTACGCGTTGTTTTTCGATTTGTCTTCGTTTTGATGTTTTGTGTTTGCTCTACCTGTTCTCCTGTACCTCCCTGCCGAAAACGAAAAACAAATCTTTGGGCAGGAATGGGGATTCTTACCTGGACGGGCGAGGAGGGCGACAGGGGGAAAGGAGGTGCGAAGCAAGGGCAATGAGGGGCAATAGCGGAGGAGGCGAACTTTGGCGAGCACGCCACCTGGGCCCTCCTTCTGGCCTGCAGGTGGCGTACGAGGAAAAGCAAAAGAGAGGGTTGAGGGTATAGCCCAACCCTATCATGCCCTGTCGATGCCCACCAGGCCACCAGCCCTGCAAGTAGGGCGCGAGGCGGTCGTTACGGAGGGCTCACAGGGCACGAAGGCCAGGACCCTTTCTCCTCTCTACCTCCCCCCGAAAGTCGACGCGCACACGCGCGCGACTGGTTGGATCAACCAGGGCACGGAAGGACGAAACCTTAGGTCATGATCCGCCGGGCCCGCCGACCCGATGAGCAATGGGGGCGCGTCTGCCGCCCTGCCCCTTTGATCATAAGTGCTCAGCGAGTGGACGCCTCCAGTATAGCGGCCCAGGGGTCGTCTTTACGATCCCGTCCGCAGCCCCATCAACCACCAAGCCACTACCTCCGGGGAGAGACACCGGCTATTGGTGGTCGGAGCCGCGCACGAGAGGGTCATCCGTCATCCGCAATAGCCGTCATACTCTGCCTCAGCCTCGCTTCTTGGGCGGGCGGGCCCAATGAAAAAGAAGCCAGAAGCCAAGCTTGAGACAGACGGCTACGGAAGGCCAGATGGCCCCCGACCCGGGGCAGGCCACGACGGGGCGCAGGAGACCCCGAAAACCATCGAAAATGGGAAACCGACCCCCCCCCCCCTCGGTGTACCGGCCCCCCCCGGTACGCCGAGGGGGGAGGGGGCTCGGTGTCCCGTTTTGGTTGGTTTTTGGGGTGGCTGGGGACCCCCCTCCGGAACCCCAGGGCGGGGTCGGAGGCCGCTTCAAGAGGGCCCCGACAGGGCGCCGGCAGGGCTCCAAGAGGGACCCATGAGGGCCCCCAACAGAACCACACCAAGGGTTTCTGGTATGATTCTGTTGGGGTCTGTTCAGGCGGCCCTCCTGGGGGCTCCCCGACGCCCACCTGAAGCCTTCGGACGGGTCGAAAGCGCCCAAAAGGGCCCCAACCGGACACCGGGAGGGCTCCAAGAGGGACCCATGAGGGCCCCCAACAGAATCATACCAAGGGCTTCTGGAATGATTAGAACCCCCAAGAGCCTGCCCCTCACCATCTTTTAAAGTTGGGCTTCCCGAAGGGTATTTTTGAAAGCTCGTGAGGGGCAGCTTTTGCCATGCTGGGCCCCCTCCTACCGAGTTTCCGCACCTCCAGCCCACCAGGCACCCTACTCCCTCCCCCAAAGACGGGCTGGGTTGGCGCAGCCCCCCTGTCACCTGAAGCCGTTGGCGTCATTGGGCAAGAATGGGGATTCTTACCTGGACGGGCGAGGAGGGCGAGAGGGGGAAAGGAGGTGCGAAGCAAGGGCAATGAGGGGCAATAGCGGAGGAGGCGAACTTAACCATCGTTTGACTATCTTTGAACGTCCCTCCTGTAGAGGGACAGGCCCGAACCCGCCGATGCCGTCACGAAACACCCGTGAGGGTTTTCGGATGGTTTCGGGAGGGTTCGGGAAGGGTTTGCGACTTGTTGGGGGAAGCGCACCCCTAGCGAACCTTGGGCTTTCTAAGTCGAGGGGCCCCATAGATGGGGTCGCAGGAAATGGGGTCGGAAGAACGCGCCGCATCGCCAATGAATCGGCATCGTAAGGCTCCACATCGAGCCGCATCGACGATGCATCGTCGATGCGGCGCGGTCCTCCGACCCCGTCTGTTCGGACCCCATCTGGGAGGCCTGGATCCCCGCCCTCCTCCTCCCAACCGTCCGTCGCCATTGGCTCAGACTGTATCCGTCCGACTTCCGGCCAGCTCGCGTCGAGCGCTCGGGTCGCGCCCGCACCTCCACGACAGGGCTTGACTTACGCGTTGTTTTTCGATTTGTCTTCGTTTTGATGTTTTGTGTTTGCTCTACCTGTTCTCCTGTACCTCCCTGCCGAAAACGAAAAACAAATCTTTGGGCAGGAATGGGGATTATTACCTGGACGGGCGAGGAGGGCGACAGGGGGAAAGGAGGTGCGAAGCAAGGGCAATGAGGGGCAATAGCGGAAGAGGCGAACTTTGGCGAGCACGCCACCTGGGCTCTCCTTCTGGCCTGCAGGTGGCGTACGAGGAAAAGCAAAAGAGAGGGTTGAGGGTATAGCCCAACCCTATCATGCCCTGTCGATGCCCGCCAGGCCACCAGCCCTGCAAACAGGGCGCGAGGCGGTCGTTACGGAGGGCTCACAGGGCACGAAGGTCAGGACCCTTTCTCCTCTCTACCTCCCCCAACGCCGCCTCTATCTGCTGCCCACCCCTGCTTCATAGCCCTCCAACGCTTCCACTCTAACATCCTCGATTGACTGCAGGGGCAGGGCGGTGCTTGTCTCAGAGCAATGCTCCAGGCAGAGTTACAATACTGATACGGTCGCGAATGGGTATTAAGCACGACGACGTCTCAAACCTCGAGGCCCCAGCCCCAAAGGTCGTCGAAACTACGCGCCGGAAGCGCCACGGGGGCGACCGGCTCGTGATAAGTCCATTCTCCTGACGCGCGCATGGCCGCCACATATGGGTCGGCCAGCCAGCCCCTGGAGAGGGCGCCTGCCGGATTATCGCCGCTCGGGACATGCTCGACCCAGCATCTACAACGAAGCGTCGCTAGCAGCTAGCATCGCATGCGCCTTCAAGGCCAGCCGCCCCACGCCCTCGGTGGGCGATCCAGCCTTGACCATGGAGGTCGCGGCCGACGCATTGTCGATCCACCATAGGACGTCTCGTCCCCGGAGCAGCTCGGGGAACGCGGTGGCAACCTTGATGCCGCAGTGGAGTTCGGCTTGGTTTATCTTGGTTGCCTGCGGCCCCCAGGTCGCGAGCGCGGCCGGCATCGCGTCCCAGATCGTGATGTGCACCTTGCCGTTGGGCATCACGACCTTGGCCCCCAGCCTCACTCGCGCGCGGTCCTCGGCGGCGTCCGAGTAGACCGCGATAGGGGGCTCGCAGGGGCGCGCGAGCATCAGGGCGCGGTCAGGCACGTGGGTTGCCGCCGCAGCGATGTGCAGGAGGGCGCGGTGGAGAACGCTATCGGGAACCACCCGCTCGCCCTTCCCCCAGTGCTGCCTGGCAATGAGCGCGCGCATAGCTCCTCTCATGCACCGGCCCGCCAAGGAGGAGTCCAGCCAGGCAGCGTATCCCCTCAGCTTGGCGGCCTGCCCGGAAGTGATCCTGGCACTGCGCGCGGCCCCGATGCACATCTCGACGAGCGTCTCGCGACCGAACAGCTTCGGCCCCCAAACCACTGCCTTGGACCGCGGAGTCTGGCAGAAGTCATTGAGGTGCCCAAAGAGCCAAAGAGCTGCACTATGGCCGCAGGGGGCTGTCGTTTACTGTCCGAATAGCGCACTCCCATCACGCCCGCACGCTCCCGAACTATGCGGTCACCGCCATGCCGCCCCACGAAACACGCCAATTCCCCAGTGGGATTGTCGTCGGCGCAATGTCCCGTCAAGAACAACAGCAGGCGGCGTCTAACCGCAGTCTGAAAGGAGGCCATGCGGCCAAACTGGTTGACCGCAACCCCCAAGCCGAATGGCAGCCCCCGCACACAGGAGCACAGCCACTCATGCGTTCGCGGGTGCACCAGGGCAAACACGGCCAGCCCCAGCTCGTCGCGCGCGGGGAACAGCTGGCGAAAACCCTTCCACCAATCCTCCACGGATGCACGGGGGACGAACCACTCAGGGAAGGCAAGCTCGAGGCAGACGGCTACGGAAGGCCAAATGGCACCCGACCCGGGGCAGGGCACCACGGGGCGCAGGAGACCCCGAAAACCATCGAAGATGGGAAACCTACCCCCCCCCCCATCGGTGCACTGGCCCCCCCCCCGGTACGCCGAGGGGAGGGGGGGGGGGGCTCGGTGTCCCATTTGGGTATGTTTTTGGGGTGGCTGGGGACCTCCCTCCGGAACCCCAGGGCGGGGTCGGAGGCCGCCCCAAGAGGGCCGCGACAGGGTGCCCGCAGGGCTCCAAGAGGGACCTATGAGGGCCCCCAACAGAACCACACCAAGGGTTTCTGGTATGATTATGTTAGGGCCTGCTCAGATGGCCCTCCCGGGGGCTCCCCGACGCCCACCTGAAGCCCTCGGACGGGTCGAAAGCGCCCCAAGAGGGCCCCAACCGGGCGCCGGCAGGGCTCCAAGAGGGACCCATGAGGGCCCCCAACAGAATCATACCAAGGGCTTCTGGAATGATTAGAACCCCCAAGAGCCTGCCCCTCACCAGCTTTTTGAAATTGGGCTCCCCGAGCGGTATTTTTGACAGCTCGTGAGGGGCAGTTTTTGCGATGCTGGGCCCCCTCCTACCGAGCTTCCGCACCTCCAGCCCACCAGGCGCCCTACTCCCTCCCCCAAACACGGGCTGGGCTGGCGAAGCCCCCTGTCACCTGAAGCCCCGCTGGCAACGCACCCGACGTCCAGCAAAACAACGTTTAGGTCCAGCCCTGCTCTACGAGTCGGTTGAGGGTCCCGCGGGCTCGCTCAATTGGCTGCTGTTGGCCGTGGCGCCGGGGGGAAATGGGCAGGGGAATGGGGCTCTCGTGCGGGCGATCGCCTGGGCCTGCTGAGTAGAGGCCTCCTGAATGGGGTCGGGCGGACTTGGGCCAGGGGTTCGCGCCGCATCGGCGACACGTCGGCGATGCATCGTCGATGTATCGGCGATGCGCCTGCAGTGCATCGGCGACGCCCGCGCGAAGAAAACCGAGTTACGCATCGAACCGCATCGGCGATGCGTCGGCGATGCCCCGACACCCATCTGCTCCGACACCATCTACGAGGCCTAGATTAATCGCGGAGCGGGCGAGGCCGTGGCCTCACAGGCATGGCCGGCGGGTCGGGAGTTAACTCAGGGAGCCGGCGGCGCGGAAGTACCAAAAGTGGAACACATGACAATATAGCGTCTCCAACGTCATCCAGACCTCGCCGTCGGTAGAATTTGAGCCATTCGATGACGTTCGCGTCGTAGCTCTTCCGGGAAAGTCACTCGTCCCGGACGTCATTGTCCCGTCGTTTCAGCTGTCGTCCCAAATGTCCGTGCCCTCTCTGAGAAACAGGGAGGCTCGGGTGCCAGTTGACAACGCATTGAATCCATTATCGCGGGGGCTGTTTCGCCACTCGCGCGGCGCATCTCCATGCCATTCGTCGCTGCCTTGCAATCCAATCGCGCATGCTGTGCTGGTGCATAGGTATTTCTGCTTGTCTTGTACTGTCGTGCGCTTGATGTATTCGACCCACGTCTCCAAGGCAATTCTGTCCAGTGCGATTATCCTCTCGTTGTCGGTGGTGAGGGTGGTCGCTTTGTTGGACGCTGCGTTCGGGAGAGAAACTGACGGTCGGTTGTGTTTGGCTTTTCCGTGCGCGTCGGTTTCGTGGGTATGCGGTTTGGTCGTCGCTTGCGTCGCGCGCTGGTTGGTCGCGCTGAATGTCGGTCTCGCGTTGGCGGTGCCGCGTCGTCGCCGGGGGCCGGCAATCATTCGCGACGCGCGTCGGCCTCTGCGCGACTTCCACGGGGCTTGCCCGAGAAGCTGGGAACGCGCGGCTCACCTCGACCGTTTTCTTGCCCATCGCGAGAATATCAACTAAACGTTCGCGGAACAGGCCGTCGGATGGGCCGACGTCGCTTCCGCGCTAGCTGCCATCTCGAGAGGGGGGGCCAAACAGTTGCCAGCTTGAGGCCCAATCATCGCGGCGACCCAGCAGGAGAGGACGTCGTTGAGAAGCTCGGCAGGCAGCTGGCACTGCCAGGGGGCGCCCTCTGCGTCAACGCCGAACCTCGGCCCAGTTGCGCTGGCGATGGCGAAGGGGGGGGGGAAGTAGGGAGTTCCGCGCGCAAGTCGCCATCGGCGAGGCCGTCTTTCCCGACGACTGCTACCGAGGAGGTTCGGCGCGAGCGCTCTCTGCCCCTCCTTCGCATCGGCGCGGCGGTGATAGTCCTCATCCTCAACACTTCCCCCGAGTGTGGCGCAGTCTGCGCGCGCCGACGACGCATGTCTCGCGCGCCAGCGATTCTTGGGCCAATGGCAGCGGGCAACTCAGCGCGCGCTCTCTTGGGCGTCGTAGGACAGCGCCATCTCATGGTCATCGCGAACGTCGCCGTAGCATAGCGCCTCGCACCAACGGCGGTGACTCTTCCGATCCTCCTGAGCCGCCGCAAGGCGGAGATCTCCCGTCAGGGCAGGGGCCAAAAGAAACCGACAGGGGCGATCTTGCGGCCCCTGCCTCGGGACATTATCGCGGCGCCTCCGCGCGAGGCTTTCACGTAGTTCCCACTGGCAACAAATTATAGCGAAATCAAGACCCACCCTGCGCCTCAGGGCATTGCCTGGGATCAATGCGACCTTCGCGACGAGAACCCCTGCCTCGCCGCGCACAGAAGGCCCGGGGGGGCGCGCGTAAATAACCGCAGATCCCCGAATGCCCGACGTGCTACAATATATGATTGATTCTCATATTCCCCATCCGCTGCCCGTATTCTCATAAGGACCAACGTGGATTGGCGCCCGCGGACGCGCCCCCCCCCAGGGCCGCGCCCCCCCCGCCACCGCCCGCGAAGAGATTTAGGCGATGGCGTGGAGTCCTTCGCCAGACAATGGAAATCGCGCGGCGACGGCGGAGCGGTGGAACGCCGCGGCGGGCGCTGCTCCTCGAAGCCGGGGCCGCGGACAATCCCTTTTCTCAAGCCATTCGCAATCCCGGCACTCTCGATCGGCTGCCACCTGCGCGCCCGAAGTTGACCCTGACGCTTCGCGCGGGGGCGGCTCCGAATCAGCCTGCGGCCACTGTCTGGCGAGAAGCTCAATCGCCATCGCGCCCCAAGACATGCTCGGACCTCATCTGCTGCGCAATAGCCCTCGCCACCTGTCGCCCCCTGCGAGTGCGCCCCTCGACTTCCATGCGATTTGCGCCCAACCGGTCGATCGCAGCCAACAGATGCTGCACTCTATCTCGCCATCCCTTTGAGTTAGTCACCCTCTGCCGCTTGACCAGCATATCCGTCGTAGTCGCGACGTCGAGCTGCGTAGAATTATCCAGATTCCCAGAATTTCCTACTGGGATATCACTCTCCGCAACGCGCCGCTCACTTCCATTACTGCAAGCGTGCTGCAGTCGGCATCTCCGCGGGTTGCCCGACCCATAACGTCCCAAGGGCATCCGCGGCGCGTATCCTGCAGGCGCGGCGGGGGCTCCCGGCGCACCGCCAGGGGGGCCGCCCCCTCCGGATGGGCCACCCCCGCCGGGCGGACCAGATCCAGCCCGAACCTCCAGGCGGGCCCCCTGATCCACCGCCGCCGGGCCCTCGACCACTTGGAGGGCCCCCAGGACCTCGAGAAAGGGCCTCGTAGACCGCCGGGCCCCGGGCCTCCCTCTCGGTTTTTCAACGCAGCCCTGTAAGGGCCTGCCGCGGGGGGGGAACGGATCCACCTCGGGCGAAACGCCGCCTCCGCCGCCGCCGCCATTTCCGCCGTCAGGGCCGCCGCCAGGGCGACCGCCGCGCGCAACTCTGGCCGGCTCGTCCGATTTCTCGACGCCCGTGTAGCCGCTGGTCACGGAGAATGCTTCTTCGAACAGATGGACAGATGGCCACCATCCAGGTCTTCGCACGCGACTACAAATGGACGGGCTTCAAGAGCAGCTGTGCCGCTCCAGCCTCGGCCTCGATCACTGGGCCCTTTGCTAATCCTGCGCCGCCGAGAGTAATGCCACGGGGATAATAAAGTTCGGGGTCGCGGGGGGATTATAAACGCTGCCTGCCCGAGGCCAGCGCGTGGGAGGAGAAAGAGATGATGTTGAGAGGGCCGAAAGCCGAGGATCGAGGATCGAGAATCGAAGTCCGAGGATCGAGGATCGAGTTCCCAGAAGTAGCGAAATATAGACAGACAGAAGGAGAGAGGTGGGGGGGAGGGGGGGGAGGAGAAACGCCAAAGTTCCAAACCTATAAAATTTTATCTACAAACAAACAATGGACATTCAGATTGTCACCTGCTCGTGCAGGGTAGCTCACGCGCCTCGGTTCTCGCGGATAGTAAACCACCGCGATGAAAAATCATGGGGGTGGGTGGGGTGCGTGTGTGTGTGTGTGTGTGTGTGTGTGTGTGTGTGCGTGTGGTGTGTGGGTGTGTGTGTGTGTGCGTGTGTGTGTGTGTGCGCGTGTGTGCGTGTGGTGTGTGGGTGTGTGGGTGTGTGGGTGTGTGGGT